AGTGAGAGGGTATCATAACCAGCGCTCAACGAAATGTAAATTTCAACAGGAAAAAAGCAGCAGTGCAGAGGGTGAGGTATTTAACTTTTTCCTATTCTCATCCGCTGGACTGTAGGAGTTGAGTAGGGGTAAAATGAGGGGAACGTTTTGCTGAGGAAATTGGAGTAGGCAGTAGTCCACTAATTCACATGTTAACCCTTCAACTGCTGGCAATGGGTGAGGTGCAGGGAGGGACATGATATTACAGCTGGTAGAAACCAGTAAAATAAAAGACACAGAGCAAATAGGATGCTACTGTCGTATAATGAACTTGAGTTTTGGAGTCGATCAAATTGCACTGTAAATGGCTACTTTGTATTGACAGCACACAAATATTTAAGAACTTGCAGCAGCAACAGAGACTGAACAGCAATAGTAGACATTAGAATTCAATTACCGTATTTTTCAATGTATAAGACACGCCCATGTATAAGACAACTCCTATTTTTTAAGTTAGAAATTGAGAAATAAATATTTCAAATATCAAATAGAAGAACTTTGATATTTTAAGGGTGACTTCTGAGGAGAACAACACACTTCTGATTCTCATGCCTCCCCTGTGCTAAGGTACACTGTGAAGTTAATGGTTCCATAATGCATGCTGGGAGGCTGCAGCTCCCACAATACAGCAGGTGGCATGAGGGCATGCTGGGACATCACAGCAGTATTCCTTCTGCTCCCTGATCCCCATTTCCTCGCCCAGAAATACAAATCAGAAAGCAAGACCTACCCGAGGTGGAGCATACCTTAATATGGCTGCTCCTTTTATGGTGTGGCATGCCTCTTTCTCCATGCCACAGTATTCAGAAGTGGATCAGTAGGAGGGAAGCCAAATAGGTGCATGGGCCGTGGCACAATGAAATGCGGCAGGTACCATCTTGGCTTAGGCCCCACGCACAAGTGTTTTTTTTAACCCCTGCAGTGACAAGACATGCTACTTGATTGAACTCTTAGACACATGTTCCTGTATGTAGTGTTGGGCCCTTGTGAATTCTGTCCTTTAACATCTTCATATATTCAAAATGGGTTCAAAATCTCTGCATGGAAATTATAGACTTGTGAGCTTAACTTCTGTGGCTGGGACAGTATTTGAAAAGGTTTTTAAGGGATAATTCAGGAATGCATGGTCGGGGTACATGGACTTTAGCAGAAATCAGCATGGTTTTATGAAATATAGATCATGTCAAACTAACCTAATTGCATTCTATGAAGAAGTAAGTAGAAGCATAGATCAGGCTGGTCCAGTGGATGTGATCTACTTGGATTTTACAAAGGTATTCAATGTGATTCTACACAATATGTTCAATATATGTTCAAAGTTAAAGAAATTGGTCTAGATGAAAATTCTTGTTCTCGGGTAGTATATTGACTTAAAGATAGAGTACAGAGAGTTATCATTAATGGAACGTTTTCAAACTCGACAACAAACTAGGCAACAATGTGCAATGCCAGTAAGGTATTGCAATTTATAAAAAAAAAAGATCGCAGTTTGTACAGGTTTTTAAAGTGACTGGATGAAATTTTGCAAAAGCATACTATTCTGGGATATAATATGTTTAATAACTTCTTGATCCAAGGAGAAATCTGACTGCCAATCTAGCTGTTTGTTGCTGAATTGAAAAGAACTTCAAACTATTTTTTTTTGTTTGCTTGGATCAACAGCAGAAACAGATTTGAGAAAGGTTCAACTTGTGGGACGCAAGTCTTTTTTCAGATATGTTACTAATCAAGTGCAACAATTTTCAGTTTGCACTCACTAGGAGAAGTGCACAAACCCTGTTATTTTACTAACACTACAGTTCATTTAAGACACCTTGTATCTGTCACATAAAACCTATTTTTATCAGAGACTTGTGTTTTCATAGTGACACAGGTGAAATGATTTTATTTTATATTTTATTTTTTGGGCAATGTTTTGAAAAAAAAACACCACTCATTGTGCTGACTTCAGGAAGCTATCAGGTTGTGTGCATTTTTCAGAACTGACAATTCCTTCTCAATGTTTTCAGCCTTTATGCACAGTAGGTTGGCTGCTCTGATGTATTTTTGTTCAACAGTAAAGTGCTTAAAGATTTATTATCCTCTTCTACTGAATAGTATTATGACAGTTGTTATAATAATGTCAGAAGTGGTATGTGTATTGGAGAATTGATAACCCTTGCTCTATAAGCTTATCCTTCGTGATTATGGCCATGGGAGCCATTTTTTTTTTTTACTGACTGAACACTAAGAAATTGTTATTGCTTGGAATTTATTTATAGCCAAGTTATTTCATATCCATTCAGGTTATTTTTAGTCTATTAAAGTGTTATAATACCGTTTCATTGGTTAGAACACTCTTTTTATAACAAAGTGTTACCTCTGAGACCTATCAATAACTATGAGAATTATCAATTGTTCAAATTTAATTGAGGACATAAGTAAAAATACGGAATTGTGGTGGTGCTCACTTTAAAAAATTTCCACTATTTTTTTAAAGAAAATATATAGAATTTTCAGGCAGAAATGCAAATAAAACTGAAAGAAAACACATTTGGGCTTATTTCCAGTGTTATATATATATATTTTTTTTTGCTATGTAGCTGTGATATGATGAAATGCCTGTCACTACTCTTACAGGGTTATTTACTAAAATTAGAATTGAAAGTGAATTTCAAATTTAAGGCCAGAGTAGCTGAATTGAAAGCATAGCCGAGTTAGAGAATTTTTCCAGTTCAGTTATTTTAACCTTTAATTTGAAACTTACTTTGAATTCACCTTGAATTCTCACTCTAGTGAATAATCTTATTATTGACTAATTTCCTGCTAAATGTATTAAGTAGCAACATGGAGTTACAGACTGCCGCTACTATCTTATAGGAGCCGCTAACTGCTACTTAGTGACTGATTTCTGACTTGTTTCTAACCGTGCCGCTATTCATTACTGGCTGCTGCTTATCCAGCCTCTGACCTGGTGCCAAAAACATAGTTCTCCCGCTTTCTATTTTAAAGACAGTGGCCACCGAAATCCTATCACATTCATGCCTCATACACATGTGGACTGTGTTGACCGTTGCAATCACACAAGAGTCAAAAGTAGATGATTCATGACTTGCAGCTCCCAGAAGTGATGTAATGCGGGAGGGAGGTGAGTAAAGAACTAGACAGCTACTGACAAAGTTGACAGAAGCAGTGGAGCTGGAATAAAGTTTTGACAGCCTGTAGGTTACACATAAGGAAGAGTATTTTATATTTCTTTCTTTAAATATAAACATAATAACTAAAACGGGTCCGCTCAGGGAGAGGATTTTGGACATGTTAAAAAAGTGACAAAACCACTTTAACGACAGCAAATGCCTCATACAGGTTATATTAATAAATACATATTAGCTATATGGAATATACAAAAAGAGGGCTATTAGGTAAAGTCATATATTTAAAAAAAATGGAAGGAGAAAGTGAGTAGGCCAAGGATGATTCAATCACCCCTCCCACACCCATCCAGTATGTAGTGTGAGTGACTGACTTTTAGTGTGAAAAAAACATTGTCATTTCAAATACGTGCGATGGTGAGGTTCCTAGCGCTTGTTAGATCTGGGTATGGCAGCTGGTACTTACCAAATCAGAGTCTCTTCTATCAGGCAATAACTAGGTATAGGTCAGGAAATGGTACAGGGAAGCAGCACCTTCTGGGAGTCCTCAAACTAGTATGCTAGTGAGTCAGTATGGAAAATATGAAAACAGAAGACAGAATATAGTGTAGTATATTCAATATGGTGAGGTAAGATAAGAAAAATGCCACTTGCAATTTTCTGTAGCTTATGTTCAGCTCCAGATATATGCACCTGGGTGGTATGATCCCCGTCTGTGGATATGTCGCTCAGCTTGGTTCCTTGTAGATGGTAGGTCAGGGTCAAGTATCGAGCGTTCACTGGTATTTCCCTCCAAATTGCAGTGTCAAAGATATTCACCAAATACAGAAAATGAGAATAAAAAAACAGAAAAATAGTGCTCTTTGTTTTGTTGTTATAAAAGCAAAATAAAAAGGAGGTATGCTTACAAAAGGATAGCAAAAATTAGTTTTTTGCTCAATCCTTTGTAGTGTAGGTGGTTTCCTTCCCACCAAGGAGGTAGAAACTGTGGCTCCTCCAGATAAAATCCTCAGGAATAAAAACAGAAAGGTCCAGGTAAGGTAAACTAGTTTCATTTAAAACAAAGATAATAAAAGCAATAATATAAAAACACTAACACGTTTCACCCAAAGTGTTCTTTTAGCCTATACTGACTACATCTATGGAGGTAGCCAGTGTACCAACTTCACCACAAGATTCAGTAAGGAAGGACAACACCACTAGAACAATGAAATATTTTTCAAAAAAGAGGGAGCAGCAGGAGACATTTTAATGTGATAAAAAGCAGATTTAAAAAAAAGAAATAACAAAGGTTGCATGGTTACTGGACTACCCACTTACCCTTTACTCCTGAGAAGAACAAAGATGTTCTTCAATGTGGAAAAATTCTGTGCTCTTATCAGCTTATGCCAACAGGCAGGATCAAACAAAATTTGTAAAAGGCATTTGAAAAAATTACAACCACATTTTAGAATACTTTTTTCTATGAAGAGTTAAAAAAAAAAAACATGCCCTACTCAGTGCAGACTGGGTTCACTTGTGTAGTAAACTATCACACACTGTATATTACAGGGAAGAAGCTTGCAATTTGCAAAGTACAAGCAGTGGTACTGAAACACACTACAAATCAAGTTATCGCTCTCACTAGAATTAAAAAAAAAAGTCTATATTACTGAATTGATAGGCTCCGTTACTTTAGCCCATAAAAAAGCATTTTTGCATGCTTAAATATATGCCTGGAGCCAGTGTTTCTTTTTATATATACCCCTTTGCCTTGTTATTTCTTTAAGTTTGCTTTCCTGCGTTTTAATCCATCCTTCCCCGATCGTTAAACTTATGTCATTCTTACCTATGAAAGCCTCCCGGAAAGGATCCAAGCCGAAGCCCAGGGGCAGCACACTTTACTCCATGTTCCAGCCGGTCACTGAGGTAGATGACGGTACTGACGATGCCGCAAATGCCGTAAAGACTATGGTTGCAAAAGCTCCAGTGGAGACGTCAGACAGCCATGCAGAACTGGAAGAGGGAGCTTCAACTGCAGCTCTGCAAGCAGCTGCTTCTACAGTTAATATTTATGGCTGGAAGGCCCACAGCGGATCCTTGCACAAATGAAGGAATATAGAATGTTTCTGGCTGGTGAGATACAGAGGAATGCTCGGGATATCAGGATGGAGACTCAATAGGCAATAGGAGCTTGGACTGCTACTCTGGAGGTGAAGGTAGAGGCTGTAGCCAAAGCACACAATGCTCTTTTGTCACAGAACTTTGAATGGGGGACACAGCATGATGCCTCAGAAGTGGCCTTTGAGGACCTTATTAATCAGTCCTGTCGTAATAATATTAAAATTAGAGGCATACCGGAAATAAGAGATGAGGGGCCAGTACAAAATATGGTCCTTGAGATTTTCAAGCCTCTGTTACCTGATATCCCTGAACCTAGGTGGGAAATTGACTGGGCACATCACTCAGCAAGAGCAACACTTAGAAATGGGAATTCCCAAGGTATATAATAGCAAGATTCCATTACTATAACACTAAGGATGCAATTGTTGCATACATGTAAGGGGATGGAGGCTACATATAGGGAGAAATCAGATTTTCCATGACCTATCTCCCGCTACTCTTTTAAAGAGACGGCAATGGAAACCAATTACTGAACATTTGCGACTCAATCACATTTCTTTTGCTTGGGCACACCCCTTTAAATTATTTGCTTTTTACAATGACCATACCAGGGCTTTACTGCCATCGGGGAATCCAAGAAGATTATTTCAAGCAAAGATCTTACCTCCCCCTTTACCCAGGGAATGGTATGAGGCGAAGGAGACTTAAAAGAGAAAAGAAAAAAAGAAAAGAAAAGGGGCTTTGGTTAATGTCTTTTAGTTCTTGGGATGCAGCTGAAGATCAGAAGAAACTGAATTTAAAAAAAAAAAATTTTCATTATCTATTTCTTCCCGGGGTCTTGAATATGACTGTGTTCTGTATAGGAGATTTCTTGATTTTGATGCAATGTATGTGTATCTGTAGGCGCACGTATATGATTGATAGGTGGTGACTGTGATACAGTTTCTTGTCCAGCAATAGATAGGAGTTCTAGGCCTGGAGTAGTTTGTTCCCAAGGATGGGTAAGTCAGGACAGATTGTTTTTTCAGTTTATTTCCACCCACAAGCTTATTGATATATGGAGGGCTCACCACCCAGATTACACCTTTTATTCATCTCCACATGGTACATACTCCAGAATAGTACAGAGATATAGAATTAGACCACCCAGGTGCAGAATATAATAGACAAAAAGGATAGTTACTTCCCTTTTAGTTAGGGTATAGCAAAGGACTCCTCTCAATCCTCAATACATATATGAAAAATAGAATATACCTAAACGTACAAACAAAAAAAAAATCACAGATAGCCTCTTGTTTCAATGTTACACTCACAAAATTGGAGAAGTTTTCAGGCTCATCAATTATGTAGATGTTCATACATTCCTCATAATTCGGATAATGAATGATGCATGTAAAAAATAAGAAAGCAACATAGTACAGCGTTGCTTACAAATTAAAATTACAAATTACAAATTAAAAATATCAACTTTAATGATCAACTTTAATGATTGCACTTAAAGGTACACTGTAAGTGCAATCATTAAAGCTGATACTTTTATATAATAATTAATTATATAACTGAATGTAATGATTTATGCGTTAACAATTGTATACCGTGTTCATTCTTCAATGTTAAATAAAGGATTACAAAAAAAAGTCAGTAAAACAATTCTTAACCCCTTATGGACATTGGGCATTCTATGCCAATCTTAAGGAGCCGAGCCTAAACGCCAGCTGGCAACATAGAACGTCCCCGCCGTCCTATTTACTTACCTGATTGCTGCCGTTCCCCCTGATGGCAATCAGGGTGGCTCCCGGTCTAGGGGGGACTGCCTGAAAGCCCAGACTGTCCCCTCTCTGCAAATTAGGCTGCCATGGGCCATGTGATTGCTCTGATATGATCGCAATAGGCATCCATGGATCAATCATTAGTAAAAATTAATAATATGTATATATATGAGATATATATGTCATACTCAGTGTGTTTTTATATTAATATAGAAATATATTAATATTAATTTAAAAATACACTTGGAATTTAATTTTATATATATATATATATATATATATATATATATATATATATATATTATTATTATTATTATAATAACTTAGGTTTCATATATGAATAGTTAATGTGAAATGAAAGCTCTGTTTCTCCTGAATAAAATTAGATATAATAATGTGGGTACACTTAATATGAAAGAGGTGAATTACGGTTGAACGGACATATAGAGCAAATTCCAGTTTTTGTTGACATTTTGTTTTGCTCAGAACGTGTACAATTGCCTCAGTCCTTAAAAAGGTTAAACAGTGAATCAACGTTTGTGTAACTGGCAGTAACTAGACAAGAGACACTTTTTTAAAGTTTGTCACCACATGATGAGGAATGAGACTGTCCCTTTCCAACCTGCTTCTGTCGACTACTGGCACTATCCTTACCATCGCACTGCTCTGCATAAGGGTCATACTAGTGGAGCTGTTACAACAGAATCAGATAAAATACCAATGGATCTGCTGTCTGCCCTAGTATGTTCTTCGCTCAGTAATACAGACATGTGGTGTCTTTTTAGATGTAGATTCATACTGGCACCAGTGATATTACCTACCACTCTTCCCCTACTGACTTCCTTGCCACACAATTTGCACTTTGTAAATAACCCTTCTCTCAAAGTGACTTCAAACTTTGCTTTGGTGCAGTACATTAGCTTCAACCATACATCCTGTGGCTGTTAAATATGTAGTTGGATCTATGGCAGTAAGAGCTGTCGCAAAACCTACCACAACAATAGCACTTGGATCAGTAAAGCTAGTGAAAATGGTGATGGTAGTGATAGTGTTGGTGGTGACAATGGCAACAATTACAGTTAAAGGCTTCTTGTGGCACTGGTAGCATATAATGTTACAACTGTTGTTTCTTGGTAGGTCTAGAAGGACTGGTGCTAGTTGCACACGCTGCTACTACTTGTGGGCCAAGCTCTCTCTGCTCTAACTACAGATTATGTTGGAATGTTAGACATTGAGTCACCAATTGCAGCATAATAAATCCAAGAAAAAAAGCAACAACATTTGCATCCTAGTTGGTGAATTGGACATAGCAAATAACAGTCCTTCTGAGGCTGAATACCACTAAGAGTGGTAGTACTTCTGATGGTGGAGGAGACAGCAATAGAACAGATGATTTGTGGTCAAGGACGAGGTCTTAAGACACTGAGAGACCATGGTACTGCTACAGCTTTAAATTGTGTTAATGCTGTTTCTTATGAGACAATTTTAACAATCATGGCCCCATAGTGTATAATTCCAACTCTACCCTGTACAGTATGGATAAAATCAAACGCATATTATCGATATTGAAACTGAATGTAATTCTTACAGGAAACAGTTTAATGCTGTATTGTATGCTGTGTTTGCATAGTCTACAAAAAAAGATTTCTAAGATGACATATAAACTTTAATTTAAATTTATATGAAAATACTGAGGCCCATTGATCCACTGCATCTCTACCTCTTTTTTTTCCACATGAGTCTCTACCGTGGTATGATATTGACTTTACTGAGAAGATCAATGACAAGATGAGATAATGTATTGACTTGACCTCTATAAACAAAGCATAATTTCACATTGTTACTCTCTTCCTAAAAGACCTAATGAATGCAAAATGGTATTTCATCAATATGGTCAATAAGCCTTAACAACTAGTTCTGTCTACCAAAGTAGCTCATTTCTATATGGTTAAAGTATGTGATGTTACAGGACATTATCAATGTCTTGCAGACTAATACAATTATTAAAAATTTTCAACGTATACTCTGCTTGCTTTATTCATGTTTTCAAGTTTAGAATTAATTTTATGTTCATTTTCTATATATTTTCAAGGAGTGTCCTAAAACATCAATCTATAAATAGCGCATTGATCTATGAGAAATAAATTCGCATGTGTTTGTTAAAGGGACACTCAAAGCACAACAACAACTGATTCTCCTTGATCAGTTATGGCTCAATGAAATTCCTGGTTCTTGATCACAGCTCTTTGTGGCATATGAGACCACCCCATCCTCAGACACATTGATAATGCAGATGTAACACTTTTTCAATGTCAGTTTCTTCCAACTTAGATGGCTCAATGGACTAACATGTCACCCATGAGTGCAGTATTAATTTACTATTTTCATTGTGGCTTGGGTGTTCTCTGAATGTTAGGGTGAGCAAACTTGTTTGCCATAATGCTCCCAGAACAGTATGACATAAAACTGGAAGAAGCCCAAATACTGTAGGCAACACAACCAGTACACTGAGTTTCACGGGTTGTGTTGCTTACACCCATGATTTACCATGCTTTACCCATGATTAACGGTGACAAGAAAAAAAAAAAAAAGTTCATACTACAAGAATAATAATATCTGTTTTTTTTTATTTTTTTTTATGATAACATTTGAAAAGTAATTATTATTTTAGCTTGTACAATTTAAGTAAACTGTAGGTACAAACATGTAGACTATGGGTCTGTAAAAAGCAGATACCAAATGTTCTCGAAATGCAACATCCATGATAATTTGTCATACAACTGTAGCTACACCCATAGGGTTGTAGACTATTTCCAAAGAACTAGATATACAACGTAGAATATATTTTTTCTACTACAGAAATTAGTCATTTGTGCTTACTCCACAGAGCAACATGAATATGCAAATACTATATGTTAGAAAAACAATTAACTACGTTTATTCACATTTTTCATTACAGGAGACGGACCAATAATGCCATTGACACAAAACATATATAGAAGCTCTGGCTGTTGTTCATGCCCAAACTACTAGTAGTGCTTTAGCCAGGATGGCCACAACCACAAAGACACTGATGTCAAAATTGCCATCTCTTCTACTGAGCTGACTGTCAAAATATAATTCAGAAGACTGGCTACAACAACAACAAGCAAGCCTCTACAAAATAATTTTACCCTTAATAGCAGTCATTATGGGTAAAGACATAGAAGCCAAACAAAG